AATGTTCCTTACCTTATTAAAGGCATAGCATGGGACAAATGCATTCTTCATGCAGTCACTTTGTAATGAAGACAAATATTTGTGAATGATGAAGTAGTATTTGCCCACTAGCTGCCAACAGGGAGACTTTGCATTCCTATAGTCTGGATAATGGACCCAGTAATTCAAGAGCTAAAATTATTATACTCAAAGGACAGAGGGGTGTTGGGATTTTTTTCTGGGACTTTAAGGACAAAATGTAGCCCTTTTTTTAAGAGTTAAAGGACAAGTTTCATGTTCTGTATGTCGTCATAGCTTTTGATTCATGAAATCTATCTCTCTGTTGTCAGAGGTTGCATCTTGAGCCTAATAAAATCAGGCTGCATCTGTGTTTGTGATATTCCTCAAAAAATACTCATATTATGATGTCACCATGTTTAACATAACTCATCATATTTTGCCAGTAAGTAGAAAAAAAAAAGTGTGGTGTTATATTTTATGTACCATGGCTAAATTTTTTTTTTAGTAGTATGGCTGGTAATCTGTATAATAGTTGCTATTGAACAATGTATTTCTAGCATATGGGATGAATATTATAGCACTATTTAACTGAGTATTTTTTATATCTATATGGGTGGTAGGGTCTTGTATTTTTACGTTATAAATAAAAAACCCCAGACCTCTCTGGAATTCAATTTAATCCCATATTTCCATCATATAATCTCTGTGCTGCTACTGGGCTTCATGTTTACTAAGCATTTATTGGAAGGACAAAAAACCAATTCTGACTAAGGTCTAATGAGCATTGGCTGGCAGGAAAAGACATTATTCAAAAGTATAAATCTCTGGCTTATTCTACTTACGACTTCCTGAGTTCAAAGGAGTGGCTTTGTAAAGCAAACTCAAAAAGTGTGGGAAGGTCATAAAAGTTACTTGGATGTTGAAGCTCATATAATGCAAACCCAGATTACCCATGGGTGCTAAGCAACAGTGATTTCTGTTTAAAATCAATACTGGCCTGAAAATCAGAATTAATTTAGAAATTAGAAGAAAATTACCTGTAAAAAGCAATGTTGCGTGATCTTATGAGAGGACATGCATGTCAAAGTAAAATAATCTCTTAAGGGGTCCTTAGGTTATGATGTTTTAAGTTACAATAAGCTCTTAGACTGTCATACTTCACATGTGTATGTATGCTGTGTTAGCAAACAGCAAACCTATAGTGCAGACCCTGACTGACTGCTGTCATGACATCATTATGAACCACTGTTGATGTCTAAATCACATTTATGACATGCAACAACATGACAGGCAGGTAGCAGATACTGTTATTGTACTCTTTCCTTGTGCAAGTAAATGTAATAAACATAACCTGGTTATAGAACAACATATGGTCGGTCATCTCTACTACCTTGGTTTACTTTCTGTCAAGGCAGGTAACGCAGGTCATAGAAATTTACCAATTCTTTTAACCCAGTCAAAGCATTTCTGAGGTTCAATAAAATTTTAATAAATGTCCCACAACAGCTTTCATCTCTGCTGTGTCTGTTATTTTCTGGTAGGGATTCCAAGACAATATGCCATGTAGGACCCCATTTACCAAGTATCTGGGAAGTCTGTGGAGATGAGCTGAGTCCTAGCATCAGAATATTCCAAAATCCCATGCTGAATTTTTGATACTTACTCTCTCCTTTCCTCCTCAGTTAGCTATGCTACACCACTGTCTGTCCTTAGGAATAATGCATAAAGCTATGCATTCATATATAAATGGTTCTTACCATTCTGTATAACTTGTTTTCTCTTGATAAATGCTAGTTGAGTGATAAATCTTAAGTACTTTATATTGTGAATAGTATTATGCCATTTTAGAGAAGCGGGCACAGAGAAATGGAGGCACAATTCACAATCCAGCCTTGTGCTTTTGCCTTCAAAGGGAACAGAGAACTGTTGAAACAGCAGTTCTTAAAAGCTAACAGCATAATACCCTCTACTGAAGTTGTGCACAGCTCCATAAGCCTTCATAAGCCTTGATGTTCACACAGAATGAAAAAGTGATAAAGGCACCTTTCCTTTGCAGCTGTTTATGCCAGTGTGGTGCCTAGTGTGTAAATAAAGATAGAATTTACACATGGTGTATTTGGTCCTTTGGAAGTTAGATATGTACTTTTTTCCAGGGTTTAGTCTAGAGTTTATTTAGATACCTTGGGAATTCTACAGGTTGAAAAACAGGTACCTCAGGACACTATATGGCAGATGGCTAGGCAGCAACTGGTTGGGAGTTCTGAAGATCTGCATTTTTGCAGTTAGATGTATGGATGTGGTTTGGTGGCTTTTACTGTTTAAATCCTTTAGTTTATCCAGTCCAAAGTCTGTTAGCAATAAACAGTACTTGTATCCAAACCTGATACTTGCCTTAATAACTAGAGATTGATGCATCCATTTCTGTCTGTCTCTATTACTGTGAAGTTGTATCTGCTTGCTTTACATGTTTACTTGTGATCATGGATACAAATAGCCACATGAATTACAGTTAAAAGAAGTCAGATCCCTCTGATATTCCTACCCTTTGCAGGAAGAAATGGGACCTGATGTACAATGCCAATACATAGCCCTAGTGGCAGGTCTCTCATATACTCTAAGTGCTCTATCAAAAAGGTTTCACTTAGAAAGTGAAGTACAGATTCTAAATGTAATTGTGTTTATTTTAAGACACTGGTGCTTGAAAAACTATATATTTAAGATCTTAAATCAGACACTCTTCTGTGTTCATGTTTAGTGGAGTATTTTTACAATATCTTACCACACATCTTAAATGTTGGAATTATAACACATGCAGGAAACAGGCAGAATTACTAGAGGCTAATAGCATGAAATAGATCTTAAATACAAAAACAGTACAAAGTTTAAGCAATATTTAAGCTCTCAAATAATACAACACAGTTTTAGTATAAATCAAGCTGATGAGGAGGAGTTACTTAATACTCAGCATTGCAAGGTTGTATCAGCTCTGGTTTCAGCTACAGTAGCATATTTCAAGCTGCATATAAGATAAAATGAGAGTCCTCTTGTTCTAAGACTCAATGTCCAGTCTAGAAATAACATTGTACACCAACACATCAAAAGAAATGACTTGTCATCACACCATGGCAAGTAACAAAGGAAAAATAAAGCAGAAGTCCATTTGAAAGAAGCAAAAATGTTTTGCCAGGTGATTGAGGAAGGTACAAAAGGTAACCGATCACATATGAACTCTCTTACTGAGAGATTCAGGTTCAGCACAGAATTAGAAGGGTGGCTGAATCAAAGCAACTTCTGCCGTAAAACTCTGCACACAAGAATTCAACTCCAAACTTGAAGATTTGCCACTGATTTCTGTGCACCCAGCTTGTGGCAAGGGATTAAGTCCTATTTCTGCCAGCTGAGGATATGGTCTCATACTCGTTGATAGCTCTTGCTACCTTATAGCACAAAGTAGCAAAGTAGCACTTGTTTTCAGATATTCTGTCCAACATCCATATTGCCTCTTAGACCACAGCATGGGAAGAATTTTTTCCTCTCCTAACTATTTATTAATTTGTCTCATCGGAGAACATTCAGCTAAGGGATTTCTAGCTGTCGGCATAACTATACATTGGATAGTTTCAACTCAATAAAAACCTATTGATTACAATGAATAACAACTGCTTATCATAGCATCTTGGTTTCTCAGTAGTCACTGAGCAAAGTCTCTGGATCCAGATGTTAAACTGAGTTTATAGTTTGTAGGTTTTGTGGACGAAGAGTAAAAATACCACATCTGAAAAAACATAGTAGAGCAATTGACAATACTACCTATTTACATACAGCTTGGCTTCAACCTGACCTGGATTCCACTTATGTATTTTCATTGACCTTCTACTGATTAGTTGGAATTTCAGCTCCATCGCTGTTGCTGATGCCAGCAAGTGGGACTGGTGTCTGACATCTGGCTTTATTTCAACGGGAAACTGAACGCCTCCATGCATACGCTTATTTCTTTGAGAACATACCTGGTCTGAAAATACATGGTTTCTACAAACATGTTTTCACGTCCATCTTGGCCTTCTGAATGAGATGCTTTGCAATTAAAGTATCAAGGAGCTGCTGAAGCAGAAGTGACATCTTGCTACCAAGATCTGGAACAATTCCAGTAATCCAGCTGCCTTGCACCGTCACGGTATGCAGTTTTAGCAGAGTTTTGTGACTGACAGAGGCAGGAATTGCAAAGTCAACCGGACTCATGTAGTTCTACAACTGTTTTTCATTTGCTTAAATACAGCACTCAACATCATCTAAATGCATTTTAAGAGTTTAATCCATTGAGTAACATTTTCATTTGCCACTGTCCCTCAATAAATAAGTAGTCTTTACATACCAGGGTCATTGTTCTGTATCCCTACTTGGAGAGGCAATGGCTATTACCTAGCCAGTATGACAAAGAGAGAAGTTTCTTACAAACATCTAGTTTTTTGATGTGAACTAGATCTGGTGAAAGATCACTGTTACCTAATGGTCTGTGAGAATTGGGAAAGCACATAGATCTATATATTTACAAGTCTCTGTTCCACTGGTGTCAGCTGTGCATAAAAATCTAATACTGAAGAACTGAGAGAGTCTTCTCTAATGCAATTTTTGTCTGCCTGCAGTGCTGAAACTAGAAGTCTGGGTTTCTACTGCAACCATGGTAGAGATGTGATCTTAGCTGGTGAACCTCATGTCAGACTATGTGCAGCCACAGCTTAGTCACTGATCTGTTAGAGCAGCCACATATACATCAGACCAGTCTCCTCAGTGTCTTTACCATCTTAATGACATGAACAACTTTGTGTACCATAGGAGCTACTGTATACACCCATGACCTTCCTTTGCCTGTTCTTCCAAAAATCAGGCAGTAATGAGTTCCTGTTCACATCCCAGCTATGGCATTACCAGTTGCTTTTTATACCTGCAGGTATTAATTAGTGTGTGGTGTCAGGGCACCCCTCTGAAGTATTTACTAGTAGCTAGATAGAATTATGCCTGCAGTTCAACGTCAGCGAGCCCTTGGAAATGTCAGTCTGCATGGTGGATAAAGGTAAATGATCATATTCTTCCATTGATGCAGTTACTGAATTGTGCTGGCAGCTCAGAATCAATGACTTCACTTCTTTTTTGAAGTTGCTGTTTAGGAAACCATAGATAACAGGGTTGACACAGGTGGAAGCCATAGCTACCAGGTGGCACAATGAGAAGATCAGATTGTGGTGGCAAGGTGAAATGATTTTGTAATTCCAGTCCACTATGGTGTTGAAAACATGCAGTGGCAGCCAGCAAACAGCAAAAGCAGCAACCATGGATGCTAACAAAATATTTATCCTTCTCAGCTGAACTGCTCGGTTGGTATATTCACTTTTCTCGAACATGTCCTTTCTTTTCTGTAGACGTAAGTAGATACGCAGGTAGCAAAGTATAATGAAGAACAGTGGGATGCAATATTGCAAGAGCAGTAAAGTGGTAGTGTAGATAAGTCTGTGTTGCTCAGAAGGCCACGAGTCGATGCATATGGCCTTGTCAGTGGAAAAATTCATGATGTTTGAGAGCTGCTCATACAAATCATTAGACAAGATGGACGTGGTCAAAAAGGGCAGGGACATGAGACATGCCAAAGTCCAAATGACTCCAATTCCTAAATAAGCTTGAGAGATGCTTGGCCTCCAGCCAGTTGGGTTTATGATGAGCTGATGCCTTTCCAAAGCAATAAGGACAAGGGAAAGAATTGACACTGTCACAGATGTGCACTGAATGAAAGAGGTCAATTTGCACATGACTTCCCCAAATATCCAGTAGTCCATCATGGTGTAAACAATGGTGAAAGGCAGACAGACAAGACACATAAACAAGTCTGAAATTATTAAGTTGGAAATTAGGATGTTGGTGACATTGGCCTTTTCCTTCTGCCTGGCAATGACAGCAATCAGACAGATGTTTCCCACAATGCCTAGGACAGTCTCCAAGCTGTAAAAAGTGGCCAGAAAGACAGTAAGGTCAGTGATGTTCCTGCACTGATTAGAAATGTGCACAGGGAAGCTTCGGTTTGAGCTTGAGTTCTTATTGCTCAGGAAAGGAAAACCACCATTAACAGCCCTTGTCTTATTCATCCTGAACCCCAAAATAGTTATCCGAAAAGGTGATAGTCAAAATGAATCTGGGTCTTCTGGAGTCAATCTAAAAAATGTTTTATCTGTTCTGTTTGGCTGTGGAACATCTGGGTATATCTGTAAAGGAAAAAAAAAAAAAAAGATTGCTTAGTTATACTACAAGAAATCAGTCAAAGGGGGTGGACGAGACAGGGAAGGAAACACCAGGGATTCTGTGTATGTTCTGCGACTTCCATTTATATAGTTTGTTAGATCATAAAATGGAAGTCTTTGCTTCTGTGTAACTCTATTGAATTATGACTGGTTTTACTCTTTGTAAGGTTGTTCCATGGATTTAAAACCACCTTAAATTCATCATTTAACTCAGTGCAGTATCTTGAACATCTACACACAGTAGAGTGGTGATTCAGGAAACCTGGATTAAAACACATTTGGGGAAAAAAACTGGGTTTTGCAAGGTTTTGTTCCAGTACTGAGCAGAAGACACATTCTAGAGCTGCATTTACCTTCAGTTGAGCTAAACATCAATTTAAAAAGGCATATTATATGCATAAAGCCAACACTAAAACATCTTATGTATGAGAGTTAATCTGTGAAATGCATTTGTGATTGCAGCCAGAACCCACATTTCCTTGAGACAATCACCATGCAAACGTTCAGGCTCATATCCTCAGGAGGGATAACACGGGACAATTCGAAAAAGTCTAAAATAATTCAGAATCTTTTCAGCATTCTTCAGCTTTTACACAGCTGTGATAGGTCATGGGAACCGCAGTCCAAATTTCCTGCTTCCCCATCTGGATGAACTCCAGTGCCCATGAAGCACTAATGTCTCCCTCTGGGTGGCTAATATGGCCATCACAAGGTTTATCAGAAATATAATCCAGTCCCCTGATTTTGGCTTTGAGAGTAGATGATTTTGACATCTCTTAGTTCCTTGTGAGAAGTTTATTGATTCTCCCTCAAGATAATTTTGCTTTTTTTTAACCAAAAGAATTCAAGTGTTGTGATAGTATGTGCTATCTCCCGGATACTGTTCTTGCACAGGCATATGGGTCTGCTTCTTAACCACTGCTGCAAGCCCTGAGCTGGGATTTTCAAGAGGGTGTCAGGGAGCTGAACCCATAGAGTTAATTGAGGCTGCACACTCTTAGAAACCTCAGCCACAGGACTGGCTGGACTCTGCCAGATAGCTGGGATGCTGTCATGATCTGCCATAGCTTGCGTTATAATCCTGACCCTGGAGTCTAAATGCTCTATGTCCAGGAATCAAAGGGGAAAAAAAATAAATCTGACTCTGCTGGGAGTTCTCCTCAGGCCAGAGGCAGTTTCATGCTGTACAAAGGCTTGTAATGTGAAAAGTAAAAGTAAATAAATACTTTGGCAACAACATGATTTACCCACTGCATGACCCTTTCCTCAGCAATAAAATGCCACTCAAATAAGTTTGTAGGGTTGTGAAAAACTTGTGAGCTTCATAAAACCAAGTGGTCAAGATATGAATGCATAAATAAAAAGCTATAGTGAGCTTATTGCTTTGTTTGAGTACCATTTATTGCTGAGCAACTGCATGCATAAAGGTAACCAGTACTGTACAAAAAAGCACCCACCATCCTACACTTTTTAGTTTGCTTGACTTTCTCTTTATGAATTTTATTGTATGCTTCTAGAGATGTTGCCTTTTAGGGACAAATGAAGGCAATAGTATACAGTAAATAAAAAAGATGTTTTGGGATTCTTGTTCTGCTTGATCAGCAAAAAATTAGAACAGTCAATTCTTCTGTTGTTTTCCTAGACCTGTTGATTTCTGTATCTGTATCCCTCTATCTGAGACAGTCAAGATAGTCACATGAATAAAATATAATAATCTTTCTTCCTTTTGTTCTTTCCTTTCCTCAGTAGTTTAAATCTTAATTAAAGAGGGCAAAGGAAAATTTTGAGATTGTGGATGTAGGTATGACTAGTCTACTCACTTTTGTCTTGTTATTCAACCTGCGTGAACAGACTGATGTTTTTTTTCTGGAACTAAAAGAAGCAACAATGATGATGTATGGATTGCATGGTCACATATGAGGAGGGTATGTTGGTCTGTTTCAGGCTGAAAATCGATACAGAATAAAAAATCACCAACCAGCCCCTTATCTTTTAATGATTGCTGTCCAGTGGAGATGCTGGAAACAAAACAGAGCAAAAGGATCCGTAGCCTGCGATATTATTTGGTACTAGTCAAAGGAGCTCAGTCTTGGCATTTGGACAGGACAGACTCCACTGTAAATAAACACACCAGCTTTTTACTACATTCTAATCCTGGTGTCCTTAGCTACAGTATCCTCAATAACAAACACATGGTTCTCTTTTGTTGCTTGAAAAATGTGTGATGAGTTATTACAAACATCTGTGCCACTCTAAGTAAACCCTCTCATGGGTCCCAGACACTTTTGAACATGCTGAGGCGTCAGTGAGGTGAACTATAAAGCTGTAGTGAAGGAAAAAAAGTAGTGGAGTCACCTGAAAAGCAGAAACCAGATCCCACAGCTTTAAGGGGCACATTCCCAAGAAGAACTCCAAAGGAAGAGCATGTCTATGTGTTTGTGGCAGATGGCAAACATAGCAGGGATAAAGAACATCTCTGAAGGCTCTGCAATGCATTTTGTTGGGTTAGGAGTTCACCTTTTTAACACCTTTCATTCCATGGCATCCTCCACAAGATGACTGTCAAGCACTTCCTGGACATTCATGCTTCTGGTACTGCCCAAAGGCAAACAAGGAATTGTCACCCTCTTATCACAGATAAGGGGACTGAGAGAGGTGAGACATGAGTTGTACAGTGTTTCAAGGGAATCAGTGGTGTACTATGCAGTACTTAAAACTGCCTGCCAACCTGATGTCTTGGGAGAAGTTAGAGCCCAGATCACACAGGTCCATAGTTCTCTGTATCTCTTATTCCAGCAACCATAATATAAAAAGCAGTTATATAAAAATAGAAAAATAAATGCTGCAGTGACCTTATACTTATGTATCCTACTATGATATTACTGGCTGGCAGATTCTCAAGGTTAGCCACTGCCAAATGCTGTGTTGTCTCCAGGTGCTTGAGGCCATTCAGTTTGGTCTAAATTAAGAGCTAGTAATAAGCAATGTGTACATACTCCGTTTAGACATTTGAGTCAAATATGAGCTACTATACTGAATCACCGATGCAATGGGAACAAAGGTATTAGTCCCTTTGCTGTATTGAAGTTCTGTCAATATCCAGTAAAATATAACAAAATCTTTATTGGCTAAAAAACCCTGGCTTTTTTACTATTTTTTTTTTTTTTTACTCCAGAAAGTGAAGCAATACTTACTTGGCCTGTAGGAGTAAGAAGCATGCTTTCTAATCAGTTTGCTGAGGGAGTGGGGAGAAAAGTTGCATTATTTTTGTTTGCTTGTTCATTTTTGAAGAGGAAAGAATAGTCCTGTCCAGAACCCTTGATGAACTTCAGGAAAGTGATCAGTAACAAAAGCTAAGATGGGGTGTTTTTCTCTGATGCAACATGAGATAGTTTATCTAAAAAGCAAGTGTTACAAAAGTCTGCAGCAAATTAAGAGGAGACAGAAGGAAAAGAGAAGCAGATTTATTCTTAGTGTAAGTTAAATTCCCCAGTCACATCTTTTATAGACATTTACTGCTATACTCACTCTGCTGTCTGTGTTGGAAGCAAGGAAGAAGAGCAGGCAAGGTTTGAAGGGTTTGTCTTGCTGAACAACAGCCTTCTAAACTAACAAATTTAACTCAGGTTGTCTGGAAAAAAAAAGAAACCCGCCATCGCTAGGCAGCTTGGAAGCCTTGCCCAGGGGGTTATCCTTCATTTCCTAGGAAAATTCCTCAAAGGAAAGGGAGTTTTGGAGAGATGGGTCAGGGAAGAAAATTAAACCCCTAGTGGGTTTCAAGGAGACTGATGGGCAATAAGTGGCCCCAAGCAGTTGATGCATGACTGTCCTTCTGAAAGACTTCTGGATTCAAGATATCCTCTGAAAATCTCTGCAAAACTCTTTTCCTGGAAGCAGGATAAAGCTAGGAACTACTATTGATGCTGTGCTCTGTGTGCTCAATGGAAAAAGGGCGGGTCATTTTTACAAAGCTAATTGTGATCATCCCCTCCCCTCTCCTCCCTCCCAAACCAGTCTCCACATCCATCGGTGATGGACAGTGTGGATCAATTTCCACGTTGGATGTAAGTCCAGGAAAACAACATTCGCACAGTTTGGCTTCATTATCTGGTACTTAGAAGCAATTGCCTAACTAGCTCAGAACTTAACTGGTTGCTCAAGTCATGTTTGCTGCTTTCAGTCCATAAGAATTCCTGAGAGAAGTGATTCCTAAAGACATGAAGTGACTGTATTACTTATTTAAAGAGTTATGACAATTATCTGGAGTAAAGCAGCTGTTGTCTGCCTCTTAGAAACTATAAACCAAATACCAGTCGGAAGGTTTAACAGGACTCTGAAATTCATATTGCAGATATTAATTGAGGTGATGGTGACTGACTAACAGTAGTATCCCCTTTTCACTGTCAGGAGTGTTCTGTCAGTAAAATAGATTTGCCCTGTTTAGCCTTACAACCTTATAAATCATCTGGCTATCATTACAGGTTTCCAGGAAGGCAACACTGAACTAGAAGAGGAATCCTGCCACCGAGTATGCACAGGCATCCCACAGCAATGTAAAATCCATAAGAGATTTTGTACAATGAAATTTAGTGGTGGACTCTCCATTTTGTTTAACTCTGTGTTACAAAAATATTGTGAGCAACTATCTTAGGTCACTGAAAAAGTTATACATGTTAAAAGTTTCTTAAACCTGCATCATTTAGAGTATAGAATGACTTGTGTGTATTAACATGTTACAACTCTGTGACACTGGGAGATAGTATATATGCCTAGGAAAGTAAATATTTTCCCACCCTCTCACAGCTTCACATATTCAGAATGAAATCTTTTGGGGGTTATGAAATTAT